TAACGCAGCCTCTCCCCGGAGCGGGGCCCGGCCAGCTGCGGGAGACGGGAGAGCGCTGCTGCTCTGTGCCGATAGACCCGCCTTCCTGCAGGGGAATAGTCCTAGTCCCCCCTCCGCCACCAGGAGATTGTCCCCAGCCAGGCCACCCGCCTTTCCTAAAACTAAGACTCTTTCCGTGTTAGAGACCGGAGAAGCCCTTTGGTCCAGGTGCTGTACAAACCCAATGTGTATATTACAGAGCACAGACTATATACTCCGCCCGGGGGTGGCGCTGTAGTGTGGAAGTTTGACAGAGAAGCCTGTTCTCTCCATCCCATTTTCCCAATCAGGGAGCTGTTTGTGGCTGACCTGTCCAGAGCTTTGATTATCACTTCCCTGCTCATATAAAAAAAGCTGTGTCATGTTCAGCTTGAATATTAAATAGATTAGTTATCAAGTAATTTAGGGCGCCCCAGCCCTTTAAAAACAACCTAAACACTCGTTTTGGGCTGAGTACAGGGACTAAAGACTCAAAGCAGGACAAGGGCTGACCAGTTTAAGGATTTGAAGGGGAAATAGTAGTAGAAGGGAGGGACGTATAGGGCATCATCAAGCAAACATTGCTGAGAGTAAAAGGAAACAGTAGGAAGAACGAAGAGTAGGCTGAGCATAATAGCAAAGAAATCCAAAAAAGCATTGCACGAAGGAAAATTCTTCCTTCAGCACTAGCGTCTTATCTTCAGTAGCATGGCCTAGTGACCTAGGTGTTAAAATACTATCAAAACCAATAATTTTAAAACTGATTATGACTATAAACTGTGTTCTCTCTCAATCTACAGCCAAACAGTTAATGAATTATAATGCCTTACTCTTCTCATACAATAATTTTCACTTGGGTTACTTAATGTTCTTATCTTGTATTGTATTCTCAGTGTCTTTTACTGATTGTTTTTAGTTGCTAGATTCAAAGTTGCAGATTTTAAAAGGTTTAGCTGCATAGATATTCAGAAAATATTTAGCATGCTTTAAAGTAGAACTAGTCTGATAAGTGATGGTGAAAATTACACCTTCTTACACAGTAATATCTAATCTTATGTACAATACTCAGTAATGAATATGTTTTACATTATAGAAACTCAACATGGTAGCCACTCTGTCAAACAGCATGCCAAAATCATTAAGTCTGTCTTGGAAAGACAGGCCTTAGTGAAAGTAATCAGGAAGCAAGAATAATAAGTTTATTAGTAAAGGTAAAATCTGTAGAAGTAGGCTGCTGGAATAAAGAATAATGGGTATTACAACAAACTGAAGAAATAGGATCCGGATAATTTTAAAATCCTATGAGTAATTGAATATCAATGACTACAACCTGATAAAAAAAAAGTTACAATTAAAATTAAGCCATAATATATTGGGAAAGGAAAGATGATTACCAAAGGAAGTAGCTCTAAACAACTTTCAAGTCAGAGAAATCACCTATAGACTCAGAGCGAACTGCTGAAGCAAACTGCGTCAAACACAGTGTATGAAAATGACAGCTCTATAGTGTGATCACCAAGGATGAGATTAGTCCTGTATTTGCTTATGAATTCGGACAATATTTTCAATCATGACATCTATATAGTATTGGGAAAATTTGGTGCAAAGGGTAGGCATAGCAAAAAGGAAGGAATGGACAAGACTGGCCTTTGTTCCTTAAATAAGAAAAGGTAAAAGATATAATTTTGTCTTATCAGGGATGGAACAATTTCATTTATAAAGTAACTTGGAATTCTCCAGATGAAATCTCTAGGAATCTGGCTGACCATGCTAGTAGAAGGGAATTTAGATCAACTTTCCGAAAGATCAGAGCATGTTTCTGACAGGACCACAGTTTGTGTGTGGAAAAACTGAAGATCAAACCAAACTTTAAGCTTACCAGGGTGGGAGGATGTTTTTTCCTCAAGAACACTGTCAGCAAAAGACAGACTAGACATTAATTAGAGCAACAATTTCAAATGGAACTGAAGAACAGATTTCAGGTGCTACAAGTCAACATTGACATGACAGTTCTTTTTTTTGACAGTATCAGATGCCAGCACAACTGTAGTTAGTTTCCAGATAAGCAAAAACTGCAGTTTTGGACACACGAGACTTGTGTGTAACCCAAGTATATATCAACTCTGCCGTAGGCAGGGATCCGTCAGAGCAACCCCTGCCTGCAAGGCACCCTGACGCACCACAGGTAGAGGCTGCTCCAGCCAGGACATTGGAGCAGCCCATGGGTGAAAACATCCACTCAATATGAAGCAGCAGTCAAAAAAGCAAACAATGTTAGGAATAACTTAAAAAGGGATAGCAAATAAGAATATCTTATTGCCCCTGTATAAATCCATGATACATATTAATTTCATTTATTCAAGATGTGGGTGTATCAGGTTTAAAACAAAAACGAATATTTCTTCACACGGTGCAGTCAACCTGTAAAACACCTTGCCAGAGGATGTTGTGACAGCCAAGACTTTAACAGGGTTCAAAAAAGAACTAGATAAATTCATGGAGGATAGGTCCATCAATATTTATTGGCCAAGATGGGTAGGAATGGTGTCCCTAGCCTCTGTTTTATCAGACTAGAAATGGATAAGAGAGGAGGGATCACTTGATTACCTGTTTTGTTCACTGCTGGGGCATCTGGTATTGGCACTGTTGGAAGAGGATGTTACTCACCTTGGTACAATAACGACGGTTCTTTGAGATGTGGGTCCTCGTGGGTGCTCCGCTTTAGGTGTCGGGCTCATCCTGGCACCGCAGATTCGAGTTTTGAGCAGCAGTGGTTAGCTGAACCACGTTTGCACGGCTGGTGCTTCACAGCATTTGCACCATTTTGCACGCGCGTGCGCAGTCTGTTTCCCACCAGTTCCTCTCATCCACCCAAGTGTCTGAAAAAGACCAGAAAGGAAGAACAGGAGACTCTGGAGAGGGGAGGAGGGCAGGTAGTGGAGTACTCATGGGGACATACATCTCAAAGAACCATCGTTACTGCACCAAATGAGTAACCTCCTCCTCTTCGAGTGATATCCCCATGGGTGCTCCACTGTAGGTGACTGCGTAGCAGTACTCGAGAATGCCCAGACGGTGGGTTCCAGAGTCAAGGTGTGTTTGAAGTTGAAGGTACTGCTGAGGTTAATGAGGAGTCCGCAGCCAAATGATGAACAATGGAGTCAAGGTGTGTTTGAAGTTGAAGGTACTGCAGCCAAATGATGAACAATAGTATAATGTTTCATGAAAATGTCATTGGATGACCCATGTGGCTGCCCAACAAATGTCCTGAAGGAGAACCTCTCATAGAAATGCTGTGGTTGTATCTACAGCTCTTGTAGAATGAGCGTTTGGTTGGGATGGAAGTGGTCTATTGCGTATGAAATAGCAGGTGGTAATGCACGAGACTATGAGCTTAGCAATATGTTGGGATGACAGTGCTTCACCCTTGGATCGATCAGCAAGGGAAACTATCAAATGTTCCATTTTGCAGAAAGCCCGAGTCCTATCAATGTAGAAGGCGAGCACTCTGCACATGTTGAGAGTGTAGACGATTGCCTCTTGTGGTGAGGTGTGTGGCTTAGGGTAAAAGGAAGGGAAGACGAATGGTTTGTTAATGTGGAACTCAGAGCACACTTTGGGGATAAAGGCTGGGTGGGACCGTAATACAACACCCTCTCTGTTGAAGGTGGTGTATAGTGGTACTGACATCAGAGCTGCAAGTTCACCGACTCTGTGGGCAGATGTTATAGCAAGCATGAACACCAACTTCAGTGTCATCATTTGGAGCGACGTAGTAGCCAAGGATTCAAAGGATGGTCAAATAAGAGTGTCCAGCACTAGGTCCAGGTTCCAGGGTGTCTGAGAGGCAGATTAAGGTTTGTCAGCCCTTTTAAGAACCTCTTCATAGTTGGGTTGTCAAAACACCGAAGTTCCATCTATAGAGTGCTGGAAGGCAATAATTGCCCTGAGATGCACCTTCAGGGAAACAATGGCTGTACCTGACTATTTCAGGTAAAGGACGTACTCAAGGATCTGGTGAAAAGGTGCTGCATATGGATCCATCTGATTAGCAGAACACCAGGAGGCGAACCTCGCCATATAGCACGGTAAGTAGCTTGGCTGGTGTTCCTTCTACTGTGTATCAAGATCTCTTTGACCTGTGCCGAGCTGAGATCTTTGGATGCGCAGAATCAGCTAGGAACCAGATGGTTAAGAGCAGGGTCTGCGGATGTGGAGAATGCTGTGGTCCTGGGTCAGCAAGTCTCAGATTGGGAAGAACATATGGCAGAAACAGAGAGATTCAGTGGAGAAAAGGAAACTGAGGCTGGCAGGCCCAGCAGGGCACTACAAGGATCAGCCTGGTTCCATCTGTGTTGATTTTCTCAAGAACCATGGGTATAAGTACAACGGAGGGAAATGCATACAGGAGGGCCCCCCCAAGTTGAGAAGAAAAGCATCGCCCAGGGATCTCTGACTGATGCCTTCCCTGGAACAATAATATCGGCATTTCATTTTTGTAGGGGGCAAAGAGGACTGAGGGAAACCCCAGCGACGGAAAAGACGTTGGAATATGTTGTTGCAGAGTTCCCACTTGTGATCCTGTGCGAAATATCTGCTCAGGGAGTCTGCGGCAGCATTGTTGATGCCAGGTAAGTACGATGCTATTAAACTGGTCTTGTTGTGAATGCACCAGTTCCAGAGGTGCACTGCACAAAGGGATCAAGATCGTGAGCCACCCTGGCAATTTTTATAGTATATTGTGGCGATATTGTTGGTGAGTATTCTGACAGTGGAGTCGCGGATGTAGTTCTGGAAGTGTCTGCCAGTATTGAAGACTGCCTTGAGCTCCAGAAAGTTTATGTAGAGAGCTGCCTCTCATGATGACCATTGGCCTTGTACAGACATGCCATTCATGTGGGCACCCCAGCTTGAGGGAGGCATCTGGGTAATGTGGGCCAAAGGGTGAGGCTGGTGAAATGGGACGCTTACCAAGAAGTTGTGAGAGTTGATCCACCATCTGATGGACGTGCGAACATTGGCTGAAGGAGTCACTGTTTTGTAGATGTGATATCTTGTCAGAGTATACACAGATACTATCCAGCGTTGAAGACAGCAGAAGTGTAGTCATGCATGATGGACTACATAGGTTGTGGCCGTCATATGGCCCATTAGTTATAGGCATGAGTATTGGAACAGTAGGGCTGGTGATTAGTACAACAACCAGGTCTTGAATGGCTTGGAACCTTTGAATGGGTAAGTAGGCTCGTGCTGTGCTAGAGTCGAGACCAAGTACCCATGAACTCCAAAGTTTGAGAAGGATCGAGCATGGATTTCTGGTAATTGATAATTAGACTGAAGGAATGGAAAGTTTGCCTGGCTACTGCTATCATATGTTGTGTCTCCATTGAGGAGCAGCCTTTTATAAGGCAATCGTCGAGGTAGGGGAATGCTGCCACTACCACAAGTGTCTTTGAGAATACACTGGGAGTGGAGGAAAGGCCGAAGCGAAGCACCTGGTACTAAATACGCTCCCTGCCTACTTTCAAGTGAAGAAATCGCGTGTGGGCATGATAGATGGTGATGTAGAAGTAGGCATCTTGAAGTTTGAGGGCTGCAAACCAATTCCTGTTGTCTAACGCCGGTATTATCAATGCAAGAGTTACCATTTTGAACCATTGTTTTTGGAGATAACGGTTGAGCACCCTCCTGTTTTCTTTTGGATGAGGAAATAGCGGGAGTAGAACCCTTTTCCTTTGAACTCATCTGGTACTTTCTCTACAGCTCTGCTGGAAAGGAGAAGCTGGACCTCTTGTTTTAGCAAGTTCTCGTGGGGATCCCCGAAGAGGGAAGAGGTAGGTGGGGTGGTTGGAGGCAGAAAAAGGAAGGGGATGGTGTAGCCGTATGACACGATCTCTGAACCCAATGATCGGACGTGACGGTGGTGAAATATTAGTGAGGCATGACCACTCGGATTGACAACGGGAAGGGTTTGCAAGCCCTCGACCAAGAAGTCAAACCTGCTGTTTGTTGGATGGCTGATTGGGGTCTGATTGATCTGATTGTGTCTTCTTTGGGGTCTCTGCCTTGTTTGTGGCTGGTCAAAACCATCTTGCTGTTGTATGAATCGTTGTGGTGCCTCTGGTAAGACATGTAATGGTATGGAGGCATATACATACCAAGGGTATGGAGAGTGGTGCATGAATCTTTGCTCGAATGGAGGACCTCATCTGTTTTCTTGGCAAAGAGCTTCTGTTTGTCAAACAGGAGTCCTCGACCTTATTCTGCAGTTCTCTTGGGACTCCCACTATTTGCAACCAGGAAGACCTCCTCATCACAACTGCGATAGGCGTCAAATAGGCGGCTGTATCCGCAACGTCTAATGCAATCTGGAGACCTGTCCTGGCGGAGGCATAGCCTTCCTGAACAATGGATTTTAGGATCGGTCTCTTGGAGTCTCGCAAGTGTTCCATAAGCATTATAAGTTGTGTAATTGGGTTCAGAGATCGTGTCATACGGCTACACCATCCCCTTCCTTTTTCTGCCTCCAACCACCCCACCTACCTCTTCACTCTGAAGAATTTTAAAGAGGCGGTACTGGTTGTCCTGCACCTCCCCCAATTGGACCTCCTGACTTGATGCAACTTTCTTAAACAGTCTTGGAATTGTTTAAAATTGTCAGGGGATGATATATCACCTGGAATTACGGCTTTATCAGGAAAGGATGATGACTGGTCCATGGGGGAAGTGTTGGGCTGTTGTTCCTCTGCATCTGATAACTTCCCCTCTTCAGGTTCTGAGTGATGTGTTTGGGGTGAAGAGCTCTGCAGCAGTGGCAGTGGGTGAGACAGTATAGAGTCAGGTGGAGACCTGGGAGATCTATAGCAACATGGGGACCGTCTCCTAGAATGTGACTGCTGGTGATGATAATAGCCAGAGCAGTAAGGTGTATGGTCATGATCATAACTGTGGTGATGATGCGATCACTTAGGTGAGGAACATCTTGAAGAGGATGCACTCCTGTGCTCTTCCCAATATGCAACGTGTGGGAACAGCACTGGTGAATGAGGAAGTATTACAGATCCTGGTCTCTTACAGCTCTATGATTCTATGATCATCTAGATGAGGGAGGGTGCCTCACGTGGTGGTGAGAATCTCTCCGCGGTGCTGCAGGGAACGGGGATGGAGATTTCTGATGTGGCAAGTATGAAAATGCCCCCGTGACGTTTGAAGGATGTGTGGCACCGGTGACCTCAGTGCAGGTGGAGAAGGTGCTGGTGCAAATGTCGGAGAAACAGAACTAGGGCTCATACGCTGATGCCTGTTGGTTTTTGCAGGTGCTTTCCTCGGTGCCAAAAAAGCATCGGTCTCTGGTGCCGGATTGGATTGCCACTTGGGCTCCACAGCCACTGGAGCCGGCGTCGATGTCAGTGCCAAAGCTTTGGAAGATGGGACTGCCGGTGCCAATGTTGATCTTGGTGCCGGGATATCGACACCAAAATGCCGTCTTTCGTTTTTTACATGTGAAAAGGCGGTACTGGACATTCCAGGCTTATCTCCCATGCTCACTCTGCTCAGCAGGACTGGCGGAAGGGAATGTGCCGATGAAGCATGTGTCTTTTTCGCCAGAGTTGACTCTGGAGAGGACGCTCTCCATTTTTGAGTGGTAGTGGTCTGTGTGAGCTGCGGACGCCAAGTCTGATGGCTGGAACACCTTGTCAAACAGAATCATCCGGAGGTACATTTCCCTATTGCACAGGGCTCCTGTTGTTAACTTCAAGAAATGAGGGCATTTCTGAGGCACTTTGCCCAAGCAGTGGATACATGAAGAATGACCATCAGAGGCTGGCATGGGCTCACGACAACTGTTACACTTTTTAAAACCTGGAGAACCCGGCATCATTGATTTGGTCTTAACTCGGTTTGGGGGTTTTTTTTGTTTTGTTTTTTTTGAGGGCTGAAAGGGCCGGTAGCAACAAAGTTTTTTTTTTTCTTTTAGCGAACTGCGAACTATAACTATTAACTATAAACTGTAAATAGGAAACAAACTGACTAATATTAACTACAACAACTCTTTTTTTCTGACTGGAAGAAGTTGAAGAGAGGAGCTCGCTCCATCTGCAACTACGGACAGCGATGAAGGAACTGGAGAGAGCTGGACCACACGCATGTGTAAAATGGCGCAAATGCTGCGAGGCACTGGCCGCGCATGCACGGTCCAGCTGACTACTGCTTCTCAAAACTCTGATCTGCAGCGCTGGGATGAGCCCGACACCTACAGTGGAGTACTCACAGGGACATCACTCAAAGACGACGACAGAATAGTGGGCTAAATGGACTTTTGGTCTGACCCAGTGTGGCCGTTTTTATGTTTCCTGGATAACCCTAGCAGAACACAACCCAGGATAAGCCGGGAAGGTAGTGCTTTGTTCATGGCCTCAAACAAAAATAGGGAAGATTCAGAAAAATCAACAAGCAGTTTAAAATTTTAAAGTGTGTTTATGGCAGTGTGTTCACTGTCTCAGTGAATAACTGATTAACTGTACAATACATTAAAATGTATACCGCACCAAGTAAAATGAAGAGACAATTTTAATGTAAATCAAATGTAAGGGAACATAGTAATTCAGATATAGAAATAGTTCTACACACAAGTCTTCATAAGCAGGTGGGGTTTTTTGGTCTTTTTTATTTGAAACACAAATAAGTAAAATTCAGAGCTGACTCTTGAAACAGCTGCATCTTACATTCTTAGCTAAGCTAGTGGACCAACCTACAACTGCTTGCAGAATTACTTTAAGTAAATGTATAAGCATTTAATGGGGGGAAGTAATAAGTAAACGTAGTTAATGGGGAAAAATAGGATTTGTGCATTTGATCATAAATACTGAATTTACACACTGTACAATTAATGTGTTTGGAGACTGAGTAGAGGAAGATATTCAGAAAAATACCATGCTGCTCCTTAAACCTTGCAATGAATGTATTAGCTTTTTAACAAGCTTCCAGCTGGCCAGGAACTGAAGATTTTTTTTTCTAAACATAAGGACCACTGAGCTGAAAACCAAATGCCACTGTGCATGAAGGATGAAAAAAAAAAAAACAGTGGCCAGACGAATCTACAGTGTACCCATGTTATCCCAAAAAACAAAGCAATTCCTGCTACTCTTAAAAGTAGGATTTAGTGGATATCCAAGCTGGGAGGGAACATGTATGCTTATTTCATCTGGATCTGTAACTTACAATTGTAATGCTGCATTTTTCTAATGGTTAGATGAGTAGAAAACTTCTGACTGCCACTCTTTTCCTTGAAATTTTAATCACCATCACAAGTCTGCAGGGAGAGGCACTTGAGGAGGAGCACCAAGCGATATGAAAGAAGAAGGCTGGCAGGGCATTCTTTGCAGTTCCCGCCTTCCCTTGGTCTGTAGCCCCAGTGTTTCAACATTCAGGGAACACTTCAACCAGCAGCAGGGTGATTTATGAGGTTGAGGCGTGGACGTGGACACTGTTTTTTTTCCATTTTTGAAAGTCTCTCTTGAGTATCTATTGTGCTGAAGTATTGTGGTGAGCTAACTGTTGTAAATGCATATTTTTAAATGGATGCCAGAGCACCCAAAACTTGATATGGGCACTTTTTGAATATAGTGCAAATGAAAGAATAAAGTTTACAATATGTTAGATTTGTTTGCTGATGACAACCATGCAAAAAGCTAGATATCTGTCATGTTAAAGTTAATTCAGATTCTTACATCCCACTAGGTTGTGTAGGATTTGCATTTTTTAAAAATGAATGGAGACTGAAGACAATTACACTATTTTAGGTCAGTTTCTTCAAAGTAATCCCTAAACCAATGTGAGATACGCTAAATCCCAAATAAGGCAAATGTGCCATCACTTAAGATGTGCATGTATATTTAGGGAGGATTCACAAAAAGAGTTCTAAGTAGAATTAGTAATAGAACAAGTGTAGTTTTAACAAAAATGTTTAATGCAAAATGTTGTATACCTTACATTTACTCCATTTTCTAAATGAAAATTTAGAACATAACTAATTCTGCACATCTTAATCCTCACATTATTTTTGTCTAGCATGAATTAATGTCTTCTTGTGAAATTTTAGTCAATATTGATCACTGGGTACAAAAGCAAAAGTTGCTTTGTCTAGAAATTTGGTGTAGTATATGTTTAAATATGAATATGTTTTTGAATGAGAAATACTGCTTGCTTTGAACTCCTTTGGACAACTACTAGACCTGATTACTGTTCCCCCCAAAAAGCTAATTTGGACTTTTGCACGGATAGCAGGAACATGTGACAAATTATGTAATATAAAACTACAATATTTTAGCAGTGCATTTTGAATTTTACCCACCTTTTCCTTGAAAGAGTTACGGTTCTAGAGAAGCTAAGCACATGCCAGGGACAAAATAAACCACATACACTAATGGATGCCAACAGCATTACACTGTCATATTTTAAAAGCTACATTAAACACTGGATGCCATGCACATACCGCCATTATAAACTACTGAAATTAATTGCTCTTCAATATGAGTGAAATTATTGAGCTGCCCTAAAAAGTCTTTCATCTAGCTAGACAAAAAGCTACAATGTAAAAGAAAAACTTGTGTCATCTTCTCAAACACCAACAAAATGTCAACTGTAGCGTTCATTCTGAAATCGAGGGGCATAGTTTCTAGGATTTTCATTCTCTTGTGTTGTAATTAGGTCTATAATGGCTGTCAGCACTGCAGTGTCCCTGGATTTAGTGTCATTCCAGTCCACAGGGTGTGGGCTTTCAATTTTTTCTTTTAGAAGGTCATCCAATTCTCTTCTTAAATCCTGTGATAAGAAAATGTGTTAGAATAAAACAGATGCAAAAATTATGGTTTAATACTACTTTCCAAGTTACTAAATATCAGATGGACCCTCAATGGTACAAGTATCTTTCATCCTCCTATAAATATCCAACTAATTTCAACATTGTCACTTTAAAAGATGCTTTTTAAAGTAAAGTAAACAGAGTCAGATAGGTGAGGTAATATATTTTATTGGACTAAGTTCTGTTGGTGAAATACCTTTATTTTTGAGCTTACACAGAGCTCAACTTCAAGAAGTGACCTAGAGAAGAGATCTGAGAAAGCTCAAAAGCTTGTCTCTCTTGCACCAATGAAAGCTGGTCCAATAAAAGATATCTTACCTTCTCTAATATCCTGGAACTAACATGGCTACAGCAACACTACATACAACCATTTTAAGTAATTAGCAGTTTGTTCTTAATGGATTACAAAGTGATGTCTCCTCTTTAAAGTAGGGGTGTAAAATCCAAGTTAGAAGGTTAACTGGTTAAACAATATGTTTAACTGGTTAACCGTGGCATGCTGCAGTTGGCCTGAATGGGCTGGAGCACTTCCTCCCTCCCGCCCCTCATGGCTCACCATGGGGGGGCTGGCCCAACCAGGCTATGCTGAGCCTGCTGCACTGTACGTTGGGCAGAGCAGACAAGTAAGCAAGCCCGTAAGCAATTAACCCTTTTCATCCCTACTTTAGAAAAGTACGAACAGATGTACATTTATGAGTATCTTGTTCTACTGGCCTTTAAAGGCCAGTATTTCTATTAATTGCCACTAGGTTAAGAATTCAATCTACTTAATTCTTTTTCTAGTTAGTGTTTGAAAGCTTGTCTCTGTCTCTTCTACTAAAAGAAGTTAGCCCAATGAAAGATATTCTCTTATTCACCTTGTCTCATACTAGGAAGGTAAAAGGTTAACTCGTTATCCATTAAGCATTAGGCTTACCAGAATGCTTATTGGGTAACTGGTTGGATGGCCAACCACGTCAGGCTAGAGCAGCCCTTGCTGCCTCACCTATGTCAGGGTGCCAGAAATATCTTCTCGGAAGAACAAAAGACAATATGGAGAGACTTCTGTACAATCATACAGACACATCTGTATCAAGTCAAAAGTTTTCAGTAACATTAGAAAACATTAATACACCCAAAATGACATTATGTTGCTTAATAAAGGAGCGGCAGACTCTGGCCCCAGCTGGGCTGGGCGAGTAGATGAAGCTGCGGCTGGAGCAGCACAGGCAGGCCGGTAGGCCGACACTGGGCCTGGATGCACTGGAGCGGCCTAGTCGTGCCAGCAGAACTCTGGTCTCGGTTGTGCCAAAGTGGCAGACCCCAGCTGGGCAGACTGGTCCCAGCCTGAGCAGCAAGAACCCCTGCCCAGGCAGGACTCTGGTCCCATCTGTGCTAGACCAGCAGGTAGAGTCCCAGCCAGCCTGAGTTGGCCTGGGCAGAGGGAAAGATCCCAGCTCTGGCTACTGTCCTAACAGTTAACTGGTTAAATGGCAATATTGTAATCATTTAACCAGTTAACAATTTTCATCCCTCTCTCATACTTTGGGACCAGAGCTACAACACTGCAAAAATCTCATTTTGACTGCCATCAACGTGCATCTTACTCTGAGTCACAGACAATTTTGAGAGAGAGAGATAAGTGGGTAAAGCAATATCCCTCTGTTGGTGGAGACAGTCACCATTGACAACCACTAGAACAAGACAGTTACGAATTCAATTACCAGTTTTTAAACGGAAGAAACACAATACTGACCTAAATTTTGGGGGAGGCGTATGGGAGAGAGAGAGAATCTGATTTTTAAAGTCAAATATATAAGGACATACCTGATAAGAGTTTAGCCACTTTTTGCATATTCACATTTTTAAATCTAGCTTTTATAGAAGAGTAGTTCTTTGGTTCTAAAAATCTCTTGTGTAAACATGCATTGAAAGAATTACCACAAAGCCTTGTTTTTTTTTTTTTTTAAATGTCAAATTAAAAAAAGAACTAGTTAGATGGCCGTTAAAAAACCTGATTAACACCATATGCTGATTTATAAATACGTATATGAATCTTATTTGAAGGGTCCTTTCATCAAAGTAAGTTATTTTTATTACTTTTGCTATTGCTGTGAAAAGCTGCATAAAACAAAGGCAAATGGACTATCACCTTAACTAGATTTCCTATCCTTGCTGGAGACTCAAAGACAATCCACTCATCCACTGCTATGGTATCCTGATCTTTATCCTTCTGGATGGAAATATCTCCTCCAAAGAACAAAAGACAATATGGAGAGACTTCTGTGCAATCATACAGGTAAATCTGTAACAAGTCAGAAGTATTCAGTAACACTAGAAAATATATTAATATATCCAAAATGACATTATGTTGCTTAATATAAATTTTTAAAAAATCATTTAAGATGGTTTAAAGTAATTTCTGAATCAATAAAACAACTTAATTTTGATCCTGCAGTAAACCACTCAGTTCAAAACATTGCTATAGATAAGCAGGGCTCGACAAACCGCTGAATCTACTCGCCCGTGGCGAGTAGATTTCAGCCGGTTGCTCCGAGCGCCCCATTAATCGGCACTTCGCGCATGTACAGTGCCAGTCTGGCACATGCGCAGTGTGGGGCTGGCGAGTGGCTCTCGCCGGGGTTTGTCAAGCCCTGTATATAAGCATATTTTTATTAACCTGAAGGATAAAGAAGTGTTTATTAATGCTGACATTTTTTTCCTTAACACAATGTTTTGGTGAAGTTAAATTATTTATCCTCCTAGTTAAGGTATTTGCATGGCAGCCCCATTTAGAGGAAAAAAAACTCCCAAATTTTTCCTTTTCAAATGTTCTTAATGCAGTCTGGGACTCAGTATGAGTCGGGACTGCTCATGATTGAAGGAACAATCATGTTATGAGCAGCTGTTTTATCGTTAGACTTATCCAAAGGTATCAGTACATAATGCACTACCTTTTAGCTGCAATGTGCTGAACCAAAGTCTCTACCCCAGGGAAATAATCTGCAAGCATGCAAGCTCAAAAGAGTACCATACAATAGTGGCCATATTATAGGCAAAATTCTACATGGCAAAAGCAGGGCCTTTGAAATTTCCCTCAAACTTCAAGAAGTAAACAGATGGAATTTGATAAATATTAAGTTTAAGACTGTTCCAGAAGAACAGGATGGCATAAGAGGCACTAATTCTAATGTGGGTAAAGAGGGCCTGGTGGACTGCCAAAAATAGAAATATGGGCAGACCAAAAGGAACATGAAGGAGTGCAGAAAAAGATGTGGGAAAAGGTGCAGTAGGAATTGGAAATTTAGAAACTGGAGGGAAGCTAAAGACACAGGTGGTGATTTTGTCACACCACCAGGAAAGGGCATCTTGGCAGCTGAGTTTTGGAGTGAGATAAGAGATGGGCACAGAGGAAAGTACTAAAAGCAGAAATAGTCAACAGGGTGAGGTTTTCAGTAGTCAAACCAATCATCACCTCTGGATTCACATTAGCTACCAAGCTTCCTGAAGATTATGGGGGTTTATCTTGTGCAAGTTCATGATGGGTAGTAACTGCAGCTAATAAGGCTGTCTAGAGTGCAGATTAAAAAATAGTATCCTATGTTTTCAAAACAGAAGTGAGCTACCATCCAGTATGATGCCAAATATTAAATCCTTTCATACTGAAACACTAAGTATCTTAAATATTTTAAAGACAGTGTTTTCATAGCCAAGGTAGTAAGCAGTTGCAATTAATGAGCTATTTATATACACTTCTAAAATGCAAAATCAAGTCAATATTAACACGTTTTCTGTCTACTTTATGATGTCAAATATTCAGTTGTACCAAATGCAACATGCAGCTTTATGTTTTTAAAAGTTAACTTATGTAGTGTCAAAAATATTCAGAAAAGAGTAAGTGTTCACTTACACTGCTGGTTCTCATCTTCAAATGATACACGAGCCAGTTATAATGGAATTCTGTCTCTTCCACATTAACAGATTTAGGATGAATGTTAACTGTTCCATCTGTCTTGGTGCAAACTTTCACCCTTTAAAAAAATTTTCACCACAGAGTAAATAAATTCAATATAAATTTTTTATATCAATATTTTAATAAAAAAATTGATAGCCTTTTCATAAAATTCTGCACTATATTGTTCTAAATTTCTAAAAGTAAACTGACATTCAAAACCAGTTTTTACCTCTTCCCATAATGTTTCAACCGGTTAAGATGCATATCAGAGGTTAAGTTGTCCCTTGTTAGTGAAGCCCGAATATGGCATCCAGTTTTTAGGCATATCTCTCTAACCACTATTTCTTTCAAACATGGAAATATGAAATTTTCACCTTTTCACTTATGAGTTTACTTGTGAATTTGGTGTACTATGAAGATTGCCAAAAAATTCCTGGAAAATATACAAGTCGCCTCCATATGTGAGCTCCCTCTAAGAGGTACTTGAAATTCATAAAGCATAGGCATATAGAACAAAATTTTATTTTCAATCATATTTAGCCCAGTACTCACTAAATTAAATCCCATTTTTTAAAGCTAAGTCTCCAAGGGAACAGGATGAAGAAAACTGCAAGATGAACATTGGGGATGTAAACTACTAGTCGAGTCACTGCTTGACTTCTTGCCCCTCACCCACTTTGCTGCCTCTTTATCAGAAGCATCAAAAGGGGGGAGAAGGTGGTGTTGGGGGGAGCCAGCTTAAAAGCCGGTTCCCCCCAGCACTGTCTCTACGGTGGGGCAAGAGGGGTGGGAGGGCAGGAAGGCAGAGGGGCAGCAGTCCGGGATGTAGCACGAGCTGGGACTGAGCAGTCCTGACCTATGCCGAGTCCCAGACCGCTGCACCTCTCCCTTTTAAATGTATACGATCGGTCATTTACGCTTCTTAACATCCTGAATGCACATTGTATAGTTATTTTCTGCTTTCTGGAAATCATTAGTATAGTTTCCAGAACTGAGTACATATACTTCAGGGCAGGGACTCACCAAGTGCTAACTTAAAAAACAACAAATAGTCTGGTAGACTATTTGTTGTTTTTTAAGTTTATCCTGTACAGATTAAGGGTACGTCTAGACTACATGCCTCTGTCGATGATCAGCTGTTTGTCGGCTCAGCACGATAGTCTGGACGTGCGGGTGGCGACATCAAAGGTATTTGTCGACCACCCAGGTATACCTGATCAGCTGTTTGTCGGCTCAGCGCGCCAGCCATGTAAATTTAAATGAAGCGGTGATTATTTAAATCGCCGCTTCATTTTACTATGTCTGGTAGCCTAATCTACATGCCTCTGGCGACAGAGGCATGTAGTCTAGATGTACCCTAACTCTGTTACCCCCTGAAGCTTCTCCAAATACTGTTCATAAACCCTTGGTCCAAAATGGGGCAGATTTAGTAAGAGAGGCAGTCCATAGGAGATCCTCTTGAGGAGAGATCAGTAGGAAAAAACAATTGGTTTAGGCAGCACTAGAAACCTGTAACTGGGCCAGCGTTGCTCATTTACACTCACATAGCTTCCCCTAGTGGCAGAAATGCAGTGGTTCACCATCCTATTGAGTTGAATGTTTTCTGTAGCTTCCTCAATCTTATGATTGGCTTATCTTTAGTTTTGACTTTAAAAAATGGTGAGGTGGGCAACTCCCCATCACTAAAGCTGATCTTCAGCACCTTATCAAGTCAACAAGAACTGGGTCTTCATCAAAATGGAATGTTAATCAAAGATGTTAATATGAAAAAAATGTAGACAGAAGAGGTAAGCATGTGGACCAGTGCTGAGGTGGTCTCTCTCTAACCACTGAAGAAAGAAAAGGATGTCATGTCAAATGACATTGGACAGAAAAAATGATAGTGTGATTCTTTGATGGTCACAATGTTGACATATTTCTGACATTACAGTACATATTTATACAATGTTGTCAAGCCATCATTTTAATGATGCATTTGTAACTGTAAGGTTCAGTATTTCTGATTTACATTAAGTGCATAGTTCACATAAATTAATCCACATATATAATTAGTTACACAGAAGATTGTTAAGTAGTAACTTTGAAGTACTTAGAAACACCTAAAAACTACCTAGTCATAGGACTCTACCAAATTCACAGTCCATTTTAGTCAATGTTATAGGCAGGGCTCGCCGAACTGCGGCGAGCCCCGCTCGCCAGCCTCGCTGTCCAGCGATCTGCGCATGCGCAGATCATTCTGAGCATGCGCAGATTGCCTGAACCTGGCTCTTCCAGGTTGCCATGGGCGAGTAGATTGCATTATTTGTCAAGCCCTGGTCACGGGATTTAAAAAATAATACATTTCATGATTCCAGCTATTTAAATCTGAAAGTTCATGGTGTTGTATTTGCAGGGGTCCTGATGCAAAAAGAAGTTGTAAGGGGCTGCAAGGTTATTTTAGGAGAGATTGCTACCCTTACATCTGCATTGCTGTTGGAGGGATGCTGCCTTCAGACAGTGTGCCCGGCCAATAGCTGCCACTTTCTGACTGCCCAACTCTTAAGGCAGCGCAGAAGTAAGGTTGGCAATACCGCCATCTCCCTGAAATAACTTTGCAACCCCTCTACAATTCCCTTATCCTAGTCTCCCCAAGAAATCTATAGTATAAAGGAACATATGATCTATGATGAATTTTCCATGACCTTGAATATGGTCGGGGCCCCATCTATGCATCAAAAAATGTCAATACAAACATGAGATAAAAGCCTTACATTTTTCTCTTTTTGCTAAAGCTTGCACGGATCTTTGCTACTTTTGGATATAAGCCAGCACAGATGACTGCTTTGAGTAACTTCTCATTATCTGTAGAAGATAACCAAGTAAGTAATGCATTTTACAAACCATGAATTAGACTATCAAATATCATGTCTTTTCCCACTGTTTACCTGAGTTGGTATTAGATTTGGGATCTCGGGGGTTTCTACTACTCACAAATCCAGCCGCAAGGAGATGTTCAGCAAACTGGCCTTTCATGTTAAGCAGCATCTATGGTACAATATCAGGGTACAATGGAACAATGTTCTGTCAGACATACTAATTTTTTCCACAAGTAAATATTTCCTGGCACAACACACTACTTAGATGATTACCTGAAGTGTATTTGAAGAAAGAAAATACTCCCAGCAATAATCCTTTTCACTTCTGAAACCACGTCGCCGGACCTCCTCCCAGCCCTGAAAATACAAAGTATTTTCGGCTACAGGCCAAAAGGATACATATTTACTAATACCCATATATTTTAAAAAACAGGAGATGGCAAAAAGTATAGTTCTACTTTTTCTCAAGAGATCAGAAATGCACCTTTTTATCTTTGATTTTCATGTCATGCAAAATAATCTGCCAGGTGAAAGTAATAAGTCAAGGATCTCAATCTCATGGCCTATGAGACATCCCTGGCTGGAACAATTTCACAATCTGGTCTGGGACTGGGCCCTGTCTGTTACTGGCCTCCAAACCCAGTCCCTGTCCACCCACTGCTTCCCCATAGCATCTCACCCTCAAGGATGTGACTTCAAGGATCACTGTGGAGGCCTAGCACTGTGCAGCAGAGGTTGTCAGGGCCTCCCCGCACTCCATGCAGTAGCAGGAGTATGCTGGGTGAGTGCACTTGTTCCACTGCATTCTGCTTCCCCGCAGCTTCTGCCACTGTAGAGGGTGCAGGGATTGTGATTGTTGCCAGCATGCATCACTAGCCACGCCCCCACGATGATCCCCAAAGCTGCGTCCTGGGGGACAGGGTGCCATTGGGTGAGGGGAGAGGGCAGGGTCAGACATGGTGGGAAGGGGCAGAGCTTGGGGCCAGTAACTGATAGTCCCCCTCAAAAAGTCCCAGGCCAGTTCTTGATGATAATAGCAGTAGCCTGGAGTTAATAGTGCAACAGGGTTTATTGGTCAAGTATTTCCTCAGTTCTCACTGACACATGGGTAAAGCTAAAGAAAGAATCTCCCCAAGACTGGTGCAGCCAGTCCTGTTCCCCGTAGAGCCTGAGAAAAATTATTGACTTGCTTGATTTTTAAAAGTGAATGTGACTAAAACTAAAAAGAAAAATGGTTGATATCCATATATTAAATACAAAGCTTTTTATATTTAATAGCTATCTAGACACCAGCAATATAGCTATGAAATTAGCTTTTCTCACTACTCCCTCCCTAATTCTACTAACAGGGAATTAAGTTATTAACTACAACTACAATCACCTCAGAAATAAGTTTCTGAAACTCTAGAAGGGTAAACACGGTGTTCTGTTGTGTGAAGAGGTGATAAACAAATATTCAGAGCACAGGGGGATGATATTTGATTTTGAATCAAGTATTTAGTTTCAAGGATTCTTCAGTTAAACTGAAAGACAACTGAACATTTAGTTAAAATAGACTTACTGCAAAAGCATTCACAACTGTTAGATGGTCGCTTTTAGTATTCTTTGATAATTCTTTTCTTCTTGCATCTGCTACTTTCTCTTTGCCCTTTCAAGAGAAAATAATTAGAACATACCAAACATCCATGACGCTGTCAAATTATTTTTCTCACAATTTTCTTTTTTTTTTAAATAAGGATAAATGTGGCAGTACTCTATACATGCAAATTAAAACTACCTCCAACAGGCAATAACAATTTTCTATTGTGACAGATCGGCAGATCACACCTATGCAAAACAAATTTAGATTGAAGTTTAAGCTGAAGTATTTATATTGCCTCTTACTAATATCCTGCCAAGTTTTAAAATGTAAAGAATTTGTTCTGATTTGTAATTCTCTTTTTTATATACTTTACCAGTGGAATAACAAAGGGGTCCTTGAAGCTGAGGCTGGCTGCAATTGTGAGTACTGGATCTAAGCAACAGAATAAAGCTCCAAAGAGGATCATTTTTCCAATATGTGGCTCAACTGGCAATCGTGCCAAGTGGACACCTAGTGGAGTCAGTTCTTCTTGTCTATCCAAAGCATTCTGTTAGAAAAAGAAGCATACACTTCTTGAATTTGGGGGTAGGAGAAAATGTTTTTGAAAAACGTGTCTAGTGGAGAAGGGTGAAACATGACAGATAAAGAAGCCATCAAACTTGATTTTTTTTTTAGTTTCATTTATACATTATGCAATATAGAACATGGGGAGCTAGAAAGTCTTTAAGAAGGCTACTTAAACAGTACCCATTCTTAAGTAGGCTGTAAAAAGTTTTAGTATTAGTAAAAGTTTATTGGACAAAGTACTTTTTTAGTATGTTGAAGGCATTATCTTAGATGGAAAAGAGTAAAAAATGGATTTGAAGACACTTTATGGTGCCCTGTTCTCAAAGCCTTCCTGTTTTTTTTCCCCCTCCATTTGTTACCATTCCTACATTTTTCCCCTTCTGTTCAGAGTTCTGTTTACTCCCCTTTTTACTATTAACATTCTCTTCCATGCCCCTACCAATTATGCTGCCACATTTTTCCTTCTAGCTAAAATTGTTCAGGATCCTTCCAGCTAGGGCTATTAAATGGCATTTAATCACCTAATCAACTAGTTGATGGAATTTCCATCTATTAGTCGGTTAGTTGCTGGAGGAGTGGTGGAACTGCAGAGGATTAGCTCTCAGCCCTGCTTATCGGATAGTCATCTAGTCACTTACATCCCTACTTCCAGCCTGCGAATAAGGTTATGGAACTGTCTGTTTCAATTGATATGGGCAGATAACAAAAAGTATCAACTGAAAAATCAGTAGTCAAATATCACTAAACCCCATTATCTGAAAAAAACAAACCCTCAGCTATATCTGACAACTGATTGCCACTTTATAGTGAATTTTCTATCTTCCGTTGTTCATTTTGGCCTCAATCCACACTTATGCCTGTGATCCTCTTGCTGTTCATGTGGCAGTTCGCAATTAGATTCCTTCTCCCAATTACTTTATTTTCCATGGAAAAATTTCAAACACTTCATTGATCTGGCTAGGCTGGGAATCTTAAGTAGACATAAGCAGATGGGCACAGTTTCCAAGCAGCAGAGACAGGGGGAATTAAAGCTCAGCTGGAAAACCTCAAGAAAAGATTGTATACATTTGAATAGTTTAAAAAGGCAAATTCCTTAAGAGTGTCTTTATCTGGCACAAGAGATGTTTACAATATTTAAAATAAAAATTATATCCTCTGTGTGTACACCTCAGTCACACAGGATCCTAGAAGGTAAGACACTGGTATAAGAGAAGGTATAGTTTCTCCCATGAAGTAATTTACTGCGTGGATGCATAGAGAGCCACTAGAAGTGGTGTGGCTCCAATAATCTAAAATGCATATAATCAAGGTCTAAATTATCTTATAGTAAGACAACTCAGCAATATTACTCAGTATTGATAGAACTACAGAATTCACTCCTAAAGTAAGTCAACACGTGGAACTTGACTATAACATGCTCAAGCACATGTGTACATATCAATTTACCAGTTCCTTTAGATGATTTATGGACAACATCACAGCTTCACGAGATGGTGGATCCATTAGCCTACTCAGAAAAGAAGCAATTCCACCAAGCTTTAGAATCTGAAATAAAAGAGATGTAAGTTCTGATAGATATGATTATGAGCGTACATTATGCTTTATAATGGATTCAGTAAACATTTGCAGACCTCTGAGCTGATACTCTCTAATTTGCAAAACTGCTAATACATCAGAACTCTTAAATTTGAATTTCACTTAGATTTATCAAGTGTTTCTTTGTTTTCCTACAATCAGTTACATTCTGATAAAAATGAAAAGATATTAGAGCAGTGAAGTTTATGTTTAGGGTTCCACTACTCATTGCAGAAGTACATGTGCAGTACTTGTGTCAGCAGCTATTACAAGTTATGAACTTCATAGTTTAAATTAACACCAGGACTTTACATCTGAAGATGTGTGAATGATGGCAAATAGTTCAGCCAATTTCCAGGAGAACTGCTTTGTCAAAACTACTAAAACATACTCAAAAGTAATGACACAAGGCAGCAAGCAGTGAAATCAGTAATCTTTATTGTTTTTTAGTAAATTAATGAGACGCCTATTTGTGAGGTGCTGTGTTTCATGACCAGCTCGTGAACAGAAAGACAAAAAATTCTCTGGTTAGTGAGCAAATGAATTTAGGGAAACAGCATAATTTAAATTCACTTTAGACTGTTGTTTATTTAATATTAAGCCAGATATTAAGGAGACTTACTACAGGCTGGACCTCTCTGGTCCAGCACCCTCAGGACCTCACCAGTCCCACATAAGGGATTTTGCCATACCAAGGGAGGTCATTTCTGGACCCTGCCACTGCCAGTCCCCCTGCCTGGCCTGCTGGCCTTCCAGCTGGCTCCTCATCTTCTCCTGGCCCCACTGGCCTGCTGACCCTGCTGGGCAGGCGTGCATGCTGCACTAGGAACCCGGGTCCTGCTGAGCAGCCACACGTGCCATGCTAGGAACCCAGGTCCCTCCGGGAAGCTGCATGCCACATATCCCTGCCCCACCGAACTACTATGGCTCCCACCCACGCAAGTGTCTCCTAACTTTGCTGGGCAGACCTGCTGCCACACGCTGACGGCAGGCTCACTGCTGGCAGCCTACTGTCCTGCCAGCCACACAGGGATCCTTGCCACTGGCCCTCCACTGGGACTTTATGATCCTGCAACATGTGCCGGACCATGTATGTTGCCAGACCAGAGAATCCCGGTTAAGAGAGTTTCAACCTGTACAAATGTACTTAAAAATTTGGTCTGTCAAATAGTCTGTCAAAACAATCATTGTAATCTGTCATGACAAGTTATGCTTAGGAACAAATGCAGGCTCAGAGTAAGTTTTTGAACACTGTATCTAATACTAAACCCTGCACTCTCTTATTGGAATGGAAATTTTCTAATATAGTACAACAGCTATCCCTAAACAGATAATTACCTTGATTTGTAAACAAAGTTCCTCCAAAGGTGTCCTCAAGATTTCTGGCAATTGATAATCATCTAGTAGACTGGCACGTAAACCATTGTATAGATGATAACAGTGACCCGGCTGGACTCTAATATTCAAAATGTGCAAAAAATATTTTGTTTTTCAACAGTACTTAAAAGTACACTGACAGCTTTTCCCAAACATTCAAAAATGAATAGAACATAAGTAGCATAACACAAACATTTCCAAAATTCATAATATATATCAAAGCACTTCTAGACATTAAAATAAAGTTATACAAATTAAAAGGTGTATTCAAATAGGAGGAAAAAAAGTAAATTCAAAACTCTGAAGTACAGTGAAGAACCAGTAAGGTAGAAGCCTACAAGAGAGATGTTTTAGACGGCAGAAGTACTAGAGAACAATGAACAGATGACAGCAACATTTCATGAAGGAGCAGTGAAAAGATTGGAGGGGGAGCATAGACAAGATCTATGAGCTAGACTACAAGCGCTCCATGTAGTGTTTCAAAAGGAAAGTACTTTTAAAATTTCCAGTTTTTTGCTTCTATATACCTCATTATCCCAAGGCGAAAAGATGAAGAGGTAACATAAGACTATAAGTTGAACCTCCCAGATCTGGGACTCTCTGGTTTGGCAACATCTGTGATCCGGCAGGATCATGAATGTTGCTGGACCAAAAAGCCTCGGAGGCCAGGAGTGGTAGCCAGTAAGGAGAAGGCAGGGCTGGAGAGCTCTGGCTGGGCTAGCAACTGCTGGTCCAAGCAGTGGCTGGGGAGCCCTGGCTGGAGAACCCCCAGCATCAGAGGAGCCAGGCAACGAAGGGAGAGCCCCTGCCCTGGCCAGGGAACCCCCAGAGGCAGCACGTCAAGTGGCCCCAGGAGCCCCCAGCAAAAAACAGGACTGGCTCTGGCAGTGGAGCCGATGGTAACAAGGCGGCCCTAGCCCTGGGTACCCCTGGCAGCAGTGGGGCCATCTCCTGCAGCAGGGCTGGTGGCAGCCAGGAGGCTTCAAGCGAGGAACCCCAGGAAACCCATGGCGGCAGTGGGCCAGGGTGGCTGGGCAGCCCTGGCCCAGGAACCTCCCAGTGGCAGCGGGGCAGGGGAATTCCCTGGTGACAACGGGACGGGGTTGGCCAGGTGTCCCTGACTAGAGAATCTACTGTGGAGCCTGGCTGGGGAACTCCCAGTGGCAGCAGGGCCAGCAGCAGCTGAATGGGGCTGGTGGTGGCCTGGTGGCCAGCAGGGGAACCCTGGGGAAACCCCAATGGCCAGAACCCTGGGGAACTCTTGTGGCAGTGAGCCAGCAGCAGGGTGGGAGACCCAGCCTTGGGAGCCCCAAGAAGAGGAGCCTGGGAGTGCGGCAGCCACCAGGGGAACACTGACCTCCCCTGGTCAGTAGCAAACTCCCTTGTTCAAGACTGCTCAGGTCCCAAGAGTGCCAGACCAGGAAGGTCCAACCAGTATTAATATAATGGAGTTTAAAAAAATAAATCCATACTAATACTAGAAATATTCAAAAGCCAATCAAATTAAATTAGAACTCATTCCCAGAACTATGCCAAAGTCATTCCATCAGTAAAAAAGAGAAAGTCATACTGCAGAATGGAAAGTGAAAAACAGAATAGAAAGCACTTGAAAGTGTCTTAAAGTACACGACTGTAATTGATTAGACCAACTTTCAATGTAAACACATTTGTTTCCCTTTTTGAGTTTTTCGCCACAAATGTTCTGATTTTGATAGCCATTGCTCTTACCTTCCTGCTCGACCTTTCCTTTGTTTGGCATTTGCTTTACTAACCCATTCTGCTGCCATTGTGCTAATGTTGTTCTGTGTATCAAAGTGAGTCTCTTTTATTTTGCCTCCATCTATTACGTACACCACATCATCGATGGTAATGCTGTCAAAATAAGTAGTTTTCTTATCTTTACAGTATGCTTAGAAAAAAAATCAGTCTACCGAGTGCAGGATTATTTAATATTTAATTATTAGTGCTGTACTAATTTCAAATATGAATACACTACATTTTCAAACTTCATTGGTATCATTTTAAGTGCTCTGCAAATACAACAAATTAAACTTACTTGTTGCATGTCAAGAGACTAGAGGGACAAACCTGCATATATTTTAGAAACATTCATTTCACATTTCTCTAAAGTAAGGCCAGCCAACTCTTGTTCTGCTGAAGCACTCCAGCAAGTGTTGTTATGTTGTTATAATGACTGCCCTGTACCTGTAAGGCAGGGAGAGGGGTTTGGCTCCCATGGCTGAATGAAGAGTACAGTGCTTTATGGCTGGGAGAGGAGCGAGAGATGAGAACTGCTCCAGAAAGTGGCAATGGGCTACTGATTCATCACTTGAGAAGGCAGGGTTTAAAAAGACACAGCTCAAGGTGGGGGAGACTTCATTTTGCACATATCAAGGCAGAGGCAGGACCACCCTACCTCCCCCTTTTTAGGTGGTAAAATACCTGCTGTGGGCATTGTGCTTCCTATCTCTTTTTAGGGGAACCGGGAAGACATTTTTCCTTTACCACCATATTGGCATGGCTGCAGTTAAGGTTTCTTTTGCCTTCTCCACAGCCAGTTTCAGGTAGGGCTTTGTTCATGCATTGCATGATGTACGGTAGGCATATGTCACAACTCGCTATTTAAATGTAAGGCAGATGTCCAGTGCAGGTACTGCACAGAAAAAGTATACAGTGACTGGATAAATGTCTTGTAAAAGGCCTTAAAAAAGGTGTTCGTTAAAGGAATGAACAAGAGGCGGTTTCAGATGCCTACATCGGTATGGCAGGGAGCCTGTCCTGTTCCCTGATTCTTCCAGTCCAACTCCTCCTACGAGGCAAGGGTGGATGGTAAGGTCCCAGGTGGATGTGTGCTGGAGGGCTTGAGATGGAAGAAGAGGGGGAGCAGGTAGAAGTCCCTCACTCTGGGTACTGACAGGTCCCAGCAATGGATTTGCTGGAGGGACAGGAATGGAAAAGAGCTGGTAAAAGCCCCCAGATAATTATGGAATAATCATGGGGGTTACCTGCACTGTACACTTACCTGCTGGATAGTCCCAGACATCTAATAATAAAGTTGTGGCCTGAATAAACCCATGTCAATAACGCCTGCCCTTCTATCAGTATGGCCAGATAATAATACTTGGTATCACTCACTAGGAGGTATCACATTACCATAGAGTCACTCTAAAAGGGACAGATAAGTGGAAGGTTGTGTGTTTTTTTTACAAAACACAGTAAGATTAATTCTCCAAAACCATGCCATATGCTAAAAGACTTTCCAAAGCTTTGCAATGAACTGAAATCAGCAGTTACTTGAACCCCTGTAGATAATATCCATGCTTCAGTGAAATTCATAGCTGGAATGATCTGCCATAGTTTACATTACTTGTAAGAAAATATGGATATTTACAGAAGTGTGCTCTGGATTTAAATAACTACAGATCGTAATGTATAGAACTGTCAAGAAGGTAATGGACAGAATTTAGAAAATGTAAGCATGGTGAAGAAGGGGCTAACGTACAACAGTGTAATTTATATGAAAAGTTTGACCAGTTCTTTTAAGGAATGATTTGAGAACCTAATGATGGCATTATAGAATCTCATGTTTATTTTCTTTGCTTCCATACTTTCTCAGTTTACAAGTGACAAGGTTGCACTTGTGGGAGGAAACCACACAACCCCCACCTTCCCGGAGCACCAGGGTAGGGGGAAGGAGTAGGCCATGTGGCTCCTGCCTCTGCGGTCCTGAGCACCAGGGAGGGAGGCCAGAGGAGCTGCTTGGAGCTAAATACGGGTAGGGGGTGAGGCAACACCAATGACATGATGATCTCACACTGTCGTCCCGTAGAAAATTTTTTAAATTTATATATATAATAAATAAATAAAAATTAAAAAAAATATGATTTAACTGCCAGCTCTGCGAACTGAACATTGGATCTTACAGTCAAGTCTTGTATTTTCTTAATCATGAACTAACAATATTCTGCAGTGGAATACAGTTGACAGTCATTGATAAGCAATGCCAAAAGGAGCCCAACCAGGCCCTAGAGTGGTAGCAGGATTTGAATAAAATGACAGAAAGCTATTCAGGAACAATAAATAGCTCAGATTAATAACGCAACTGTTCACTGAGTCACTATATATTACACAGACCAATCAGCTTCTAGCAAAAAGGCCTGAAGATTTAATCAATGTAGTGTACCATATTTATAAAGAAAATGTTTTTATTCATTGTACCATCTATTTATGAATAACCAAATACATTTTTGTAAGAAATATTTAACAGATTTACACTTTTACTATGTTATGATTTAACATTATTTTGCAAGAATTGTGTTATTTGATTAAAATGTGGCTACCTAAGTAGAAATAAAACTATGTTTTACCTAGTCTCTGCAATATTGGTAGCAATTATAATTTTCCGTACTCCAGGAGGGGTCTTTTTAAAAACCTGAAAAGATACATAATTAACAAAAATAAAACAGGCTATTTATCAAAACCAGACAAAGCACAAAGTCACCTGGCAGTTCACTTGTCTTCATACCTACTTTCTAGCAACTACTTTCATGCCATTTGCTTACTTGAAAATTGTGTGTGAAAGTATCTAAGTCAAATATTTATAGGGATGCTACTCTGAGAACTTCAATAGTTTATATATATTTCCAATATAGTCAAACACAAGTATGGTATGGTGATGAAAATCTTCAATAAGTATTTTTTACACACATGTGCAACGAATACTACCATAATCAACACCATGTTCAAAGGTACCTGCAGGAGTGCCATCTGGACAGACGGGCACTATAAAATGCAAATGGACTATTTACTACAAGCTAAAGAGAGATTTAACATTAACATAACTTTATTTTTAAATTATGCATAGGCTACACTGGAAAAATTAAACCATAGCAAAACAATTTTATCCTCAAAATCTATGTTTAGAAAATGTCACTTAAAACAAGAGACTTTACTATATTTTACAATAAGAGTGAAGAATATTGTAAGTAATGAAACATACCTGTGTCTGGTTAACAGTAGGCATGAGTGAATGCAGAGGTATAATAATGAACCTATCTGAAAAGTAAAACAGTAAACAATGTTATGGCATGGAAAATTCAATGCTGCACAGCAAAACTAAAACTGGACACAAAGGCTAAAAAAGGAGATGTATGTAAATTAATGTCTCACATTTGTAGTCACCTTTCTTCAAAGAGAGACATATGTACTTTCTAGTACTTTGGTAATACAGGCAGTCCTCGGGTTACGTACAAGATAGGGACTGTAGGTTTGTTCTTAAGTTGAATCTGTATGTAAGTCGGAACTGGCGTCCAGATTCAGCAGCTGCTGAAACTGACCGCCAGTTCTGACTTACATATAGATTCAACTTAAGAACCCCAGGCATCCCCAAGTCAGCTGCCGCTGGAA